GGCTGTTTGCGTTCACACATAAAGCTCCTCTTGGAGTTTTCCAGGAGTTTTCTGCAAGTGTGAGAGCCCTAATGGAGAATGCAAATATTTAAAAGGGGGACAAAACAATACAAATGTGATTGTAAATGACTGACAAGACACAATACGACCACAAAGACAGTCACAAATGATTTAAAAGTAAGACAGAACAACTACAATTTAACATGTAAAGACCACAGATGCAGAAACAAAGCAACAAAGTAGTGACTGTATGTGCCTTTGTTTTTAGAATCTAAACTGATTTCATCTATCCTGAAAACTCCAGCTACGGCTTCACAGGTCTAAATAATGGATTTATTTCAGCCTCGTGTCGACAGGAAACACTTTGTAAGTCTGTAAACAGTCTGCACCCTGCTGATTAAAACACAAACACGTCGGCGTGCTTTCTTGCACCTCCCATTAGTGGTCTGAGTGGAATATGTGAAATTTCACATCGCTGTTAAATTGCTCTCTTTGTGTCGGTGTGACTCAAAAAACAAAACCGTCACTTTAAGTGTTTAAATGGAAAACCCCAGAGTGTGAGGTGAGAACTGGGAGACATAGAGACTCAAAGATGGCAAGCGACAGAGGGACATTCCTCGGAGTGCAGGGGATTACAGGAAGGCCGGCCACTCGCACATTGTCTTCATGACTCCTTTGCTATATCAGTCAGTCTCCAATTAACAGCCTGCATTGTCTAGAGGATTAGGCGCGACGGGCAAGTCCCACTGGCCGGCACAGAGATCCAACAGCAACTGGCACAGGCCTTAATCCCGCTCAACATGTGCTCCAGAGGCTGAGCAAGTGGGAGTTTACTCTAATCCAGGTATCACATATCCTGACTAAAGAAGGACTTGAACTTAAGCAGCACTTGAGTGGAGGACCTGAGGAATTTGGAAGAGGATCAGCAGGCCTGACGGGAGATGACCAGGGACCTTTGGTTTTCTCTCTCTCTCTCTCTCAGAGGCTGAGCAAGTGGAGTTTACTCTAATCTCAACATGTGCTCCAGAGGCTGAGCAAGTGGGAGTTTACTCTAATCCAGGTATCACATATCCTGACTAAAGAAGGACTTGAACTTAAGCAGCACTTGAGTGGAGGACCTGAGGAATTTGGAAGAGGATCAGCAGGCCTGACGGGAGATGACCAGGGACCTTTGTTTTTCTCTCTCTCTCTCTCTCTCTCTCTCTCTCTCTCTCAGTTGTCAGATGTTGTGCTGCAGGAAATGATTCATTTTCACATTGAGTGTTGTGCTGCCAGACTCTGTACTAAAATCTTTGACTTCCTGGATCTGTCTTAAACATTTTTAAAATGCTGATGTTGGACAGGATGAGTCTGACGAGAAGGCACTTTATTTTTTATTTTTTTTACATTTCTATATTTTAGTCAGATTTGAGATTAATTCAGAGTTTCATTTTCTGTCTCTAATCTGTTGTGTGGCAACTGAATACTATTATTCATCATGTCATGTGATCACTCGTGTGTCATGGGATACGAAATATGATATTTATGATGTTTAAGAATAATAGAAACATGCCACCAACTCTTTATAACTTACTAGTGAGCACTTATAAGCACACATTAAGGCATGTTTACATTTCTACTATTATACGATATTTCCAACAACATAACTCCTACTATGATGACTTATTTAGTTTGTAATCCCACCTGTGTGAAATCGTCATGAATGATCTGAGTTGCTTCACATAAGGGTGGGTCAGTAACTAATTAACTCCATTTCTCGGCCTCATACCGATTTGTTTGTAATAAAAGGTCACATTACATTCAAAATTCAAACTTAACGAATCACAGTTATATTTTCAGACGCTTGGTTATGCTGGTGACTTGAACTCTGCGATGAACATCTCGTGTTTACATAGATACATTAAACTGATTTTACGATGATAATTTGCATCAGTGACATAACGGAGTCATGAGGCCGAACAGAAATGCAAATCAGGATGCAAATGATGCCGTACGACCTTGGGCGGTGATTACTCATAATATTGACACCTCAGTGACTTTATGAGACAAAGATTTGTGTGTAATCACCGCAACACACTTTTGATGTATAGCTGTACAGATGATATGATGGAATAAGTAAGAGCAGATAGGTTAAAGTTTCACTTTGGACAAAAGCAGTGCTATTTTATTGCCACATTTTAGCAGTCTTTGAATGCACAAACTTTGATTTCATCATTGTTTTTGTGCCATTGTTGTCCCCTTGGAAACAAGGAAACGTTAACGTCCTTGTTGTGTGAGCTGAGATAATGTGGTTAAATCTCCGTTGGTTCATTTTCAAGACGGTGGTAAACCACTGGATCATGACAAATCCAGACTTCTGACGACTTTCAAAGAACAGAGAGGAAAGGGGAAACGCTTTAAGAAAGTCTTGAAGCGTCACAGTGAGCAGAGGGTTTTTCTGTGTGGAGTTCAAATGTGAGGACGGGGATAACTGGTCCAGCTCACATAAATCCTCCGGTGGGTACGTGCTCCTTCTGACTGCCCGGGGTGCTGCACACGAAGGAGGTGGTGAGGCGTGAATAACAGGAGCACCAAGTACCCATGGACACAGCTGCCTCGCTTTGAGCTCGTCAACAAAAGAGACAAACCAGGCACCCTGTATCCTCCACTCCCTCTCCCTTGTAAGCAAGAGAGAAAAAAAAAAAAAAAAAAAAAAGATGACGCAGGAATGCCTCCAGAAATGAGAAACAAAGGTGCTCACGTCCTGTGTTTGCGTTAGTGTTCATCAGTCTCCTGCGATGACAGGGTTTGATGTGGAGAAATGACGTGATAGTAAACAAAGTGAAAAGTGAAAGTGATCCTCCTTAATCATTTCAGATGTTTCTGAGTTGTTGGTACATTACCACCAGATTAAAGCATTATTATTATTATTAATAAGAAGTATTAAAGCAAACAGTAGAGAAAAGGAATTGGCAAAACTGTATTTTGAATCCTTTTCGACCACATAGGTTATACCATGAGCCCTCAGTTTTGTCTTGTGGCATTAAGAAGGGGAGAAAGGGCCTCCCCCTAGTTGCTGAATGAACCTTCCTAACTGAATCTACAGTTTATACAAATGATAAAGTCATTATAACCAGGTCCACCTGATCTGCTGCTAACTGTAATATGCATCTTAAATGAATTGATACATACGTTTTTATTTATGATTAAATAGTAAGCAATCAAATAGATTTACATTTTTGATAACTGCTAAATAATTCAGGTTAAACATAGTATTTGTCATGGAAAGGTCTGGGTGCCTCCTGTTCGGTGATTAAGCTGCTAAATCTGTGCTTTTTTTTTCTCCAATTGTCAATTCTGCCATTGAGACGCTTTTACTCTCTTCTCTGTCTCCTGGCTATCATGCAACTGCCTGGCATCTGAAATAAAAGAGAGCTGAAGTCCCCAACCTCCTGAAAGAGAGCCCAGGAAGGGGGTTCAGAGGGTGCAGGCACCTCCTTCCTCTCCCCTCCCTCCTTTCCTCTCCATTCACCTCAAAGCATTAGAGCCGCATTCCTCCGGTCCAGCAACAAGCAGGCTAATTCGATTTCCTTCGACAGTAAGACCGTGTGAAGTTTCATTCGCATCTCCTGGTCGCCGTGTAAGAGGCGTTGTAAAAGGCTGTCTGCCTCCATCACGCTTTGTTTACCGCTTTGTTTACTGCTTTGTTTAGTCCCGCCCCTAAAGTAAACAACAGGGAACGTGGGAGGTGATGTCATCTCTGGATTCATCTTGTGAGACTGAAAATACTTGGAAAGATTGGACAAAGTGTTGGTTATGTTTACTGACAGATACTTGGTCTATTTTCATATTTTATAGTTATGTAGATGTTAGTTCAGGGAAATACTTCAAAACCAAATAATAAGAAAAGTAAAGCCTGGTCCAAATATGCTAAGATTCCATGGATGAGTCAAACACATTTTTTTTTTAAGCTCATGAAGGATTGTTTATAATCCACCCATTTTAGCCGGCAGACTTCCACATGAGAGGTCAGAGTTTGGGGCGACAGCAGCTGGCTGGTCGGATGACGAAGGAAGTCAACAAAACCAGACTGGTGGCCCGGCGCTGACTCTGACCTCAGGCCTGCTGTCGGACCAGAAAGGTCACAAACACAAAACTCCCTTTCTGCTCCGACTCTTTGAACGACTCTGCTGCATGCAAGCCTCCAGTCTGTAACTGCAAAGGAACAAACAGCAAAGAGAACAAACAGCAAAGTGCTTTCAGGGCATTGAGTGTTGAGTATATTTTCCTAACCATATGCTTCCATCTCTTTTCATATTTATAATTTCAGCCAGTCAGATGACGTTACTTCCAATCAAACCCTTGTGATTCAGGTTGCCCAGGATCACCAATGTTCAGCAAGATAATATCTGAGCCAGACCAAGTTACATTTGTTATAGATACCAGATTATCTGCAGGGGAAATGGTTTGGTGTCCAGATTCTGTTGAGATGTTTAATGAGGATTCTGACCACTAAAAATGGTTCAGTTTCTCCCTCTCTCATAACTGTGAGGAGCAGAATGATTAGACACATTATTCATTTTAATTTAATCATGTGAATGTAGTTATATATGATACCCATCTTATGCTGCCAGCTTAGCCAAGCTCTAGTTAGTAGAAGGTTCAATTTCAACTAAAGAGTAAAGGCAGCATGGAATAATACATTACAGACACCTGGATGAAAGACAGTTTGTTGCTATGGTTAAAAACCCTTGCCTATATACAATTCTTTAATTTTGCTTTTTCTATCGACTATTTTTTCACTCCCAAAGACCCCTGATGTCCCTGTTTTACTGTTTAAAAAAAAAAAAGCAGAAAAATAATGAACTTCCCATCCCTCTGTGAAAGTGAAGACAGTGTTCACAGCAGAGCGGTGGAGCTGTGCTGCTACCTAGTGTCTGTTTGTGGTCAGGCTGTCAGGATCCATCCGCCTCTCAAGAGGAAACATCTCAATCCAAACGACCAGAAATCCAAGCAGCAGATTAACAGTTAAAAGTTTGTTTAATTTTAAAACACAGCATTCAAGCTCAATAGAACCACAGGTTTTTACATGGACACATTTTAGAGACTGCAAAAAAGGATGTAAAAAAAAAAGAAAAGAAAAAAAAAAAAGATTACATCTACAGTGATTTTATTTTTCAAAATACAACTCAATGAGAATTTAAAATCTATTTACCATATTCACATTAATGAAGCAACACATCACGTGTGCTACAGTTCCTAAAATGATATAGAAAAAGAACTACAAGCAAATCAAATTTAAAAAAAAAGGTGAAAAAAACATTTATGAAATTAAAAAAAAAAGTCATGTTCAACCACTTTTTTTTTTTTTCTACATTTTGAATAATTTGTATACACTGTACAGCCTTGCACAACAAACGACAAAGAGAATATGACTACTACTCGAAAAATTAAGATTGCATCAGTGTGATCATGTTTACAGAGTGAAAACAAGACGTCAGGTTCACTTTCATGTCAAACCTCACAAACTGGCCCAAAATGGAAAAAACATCGAAAAAGAGAATAAGATTGTAAAAAGAGTTGTGCTTAAGGTGTTCACACAGCCTCAAAATCTGGTCAAAACGCACTTCTGACAGAAGCAAGTTGAAGCTGCAGACGTAGGAACATATTGCTCCACATCAGCCTGCTTCAAGAGGAGAATCAGCAGACCTCTCATTGAAGAGAAGGCAGAGTCTTTACAGTCCCTTCACAGCATCACCTCACTCCCATCTACTTTGTTTGTTATAAATGCTAAAACACATTTTCAGAGACACTGCATTGCCAATGCATCAATTTTCACTTTTAAATTCTCTCAGAAGCTGCACTATTCTTTTTTTTTTTTTTTATTTTTTTTTTTACATAAACCTGCATTCAGTTTCTTTTTTGGAATAATCAGTGAGAGGATTTTTTTTGACTATGAACTGCTGCCTTTTAAAGAGAGAAGCATCTCTGGCAGAGTCAAGGATGTGTGTGTGTGTGTGTGTGTGTGTGGACAATTCCTGCTCTGTTAAGAATGATGAGGCTCTTCAATTTAACGGGGACGTAGAGAGAATAACAAGCAGTCTGGTGAATTGGCAAATCATTGAATATTTGAAAGGAATGTAGCAGAAAAACATCCCGCACAACCGTCACCGTCGTCCTCAAAGGGCTGTAAAAAAAGGTTTTTGCTTCCAGTAGTATAAAAACTTCTCGTCAAACTGAAGAAGATAACGCTTTTCTCTTCTTCAGGAAGATCGTCATCATTCGGCTGAGAATCTTTCTTTTAAATTCAGTTGCTTTTCCCCATCATGCAGTTCATCTTTGTCCTTAACATATCCTCTCGAGAAATTGCAAAAAAGTAAAAATCCACAGATTAACAAGAAACAGTCACTGCTGTGGAATAGTGGCTCATCAATGTGTTCAAAAAAAATGCCACACTGAAAAACAGTGTCCCCTGAGGGGGGGGGGGGGATTCAGACCTGTAAGACTGCAGGATAACTGGTCCCAGACATCAGACTCAAAAGGAAATGCAAAAACAAGCCCATGTACATGTGTGATATACAGTACGGCAACATTTACCAGAGAGTAATTCAGACTTGACTGGTTGCAATTCAAGTTTTACAAAATGAAAAGAAAGAAAGAGCTATTCTAAGACAGTTTGATCTATGCTCAGTGTGAGAAAGAACGTCTAAACTTCAGTCGGGAAGAGAACAGTTCATTCCTGTCATGTTGATGTGTAAGGCATTTCTCTGTTTCTCTCTAGAAGCAATGAAAGGGTGCAGTACAGTAATTTACAAAGTAAAACAACCAGTAGTCAGTGTTAGTCCATGAGCAACTTCCAGAGTCCTCAACACTGCACCGCCCTGTTAGGCGTGACACTGTTCATGTTGTGGTGCGTTCATGTGGAGGTTCATAAAGATTAAAGATCGGAGTGTAAACATCAGTCCAGGCTCCATCACATCAGAGGTGCAGAGAAATTCCCAGCACCAACAACAACTATTTTTTTTTTTTTTTTGCAGCTATGAACGTCAGCTGAGGATTGTGGGAAATGGACAAGGAGGAACATGTGCACTCCTGTTTCGATGCTTTTGATTCAATGAGACTTAAGAGCCCGCTGACAGGATGAGGGATTGGAGTGCAGACAGACCTCGGGAGACGTCAGCGCTGCTCGTGTGCAGGAGGGTTGTTGGGGTCTGGTCGGCTGTTGGGGTCTGGTCGGCTGTTGGGGTCTGGTCGGCTGTTGGCCAGGTACTTGGCCCTCATGCTGGAGGTGTACTGTGTCGAGAAACAGAGCATGAACGAGTTCAAATCATCCACTCATGTGTTTACAATGCACTTTAAAACAAAGTCCATGTCAGATTCTGTCATTAATATTTATGACAGATATTTAAAGATGCAGACTGTAAAGCCTGTAAAAAAGGTCTGTGCTGGTAAATGAACTGATTTAACAACTCTTGGAAGGAGGAGGAGTCCTTCTGGTAAATAAAACATCCGTAGCAAAGGAACACAACAAATACAGAGCTACAGGGATTCATCAGAATGTAGAAAAATGCTACACAGATTACCTTCCAAACTAGTAACTCCGGAGTGGTGGTATCTAAAGGGATCGTAAATGATTCAAATACAGAGAGAACATACGAGAAACAGCCACAGAGGATGGGGAGATCAAAACAAGGAGATCAACACCAGTTGGAGTTGCAGTTTTCTTTTCTTCTCCACTGTTTGTCCTTAAAACCCTCTTTGGGAGTCTTTCACATACATTTAGGATGCACTCATGCATTTCATTGAACAGGCGACACAAGCACACAGAGGCTGCATTTCAAACTTAAACAGAAAAGATACGGTATTTGTTTGTATTTGTGTGTATGTGTCTGTATATTTTGATCTCGCTCCGGAGTTCATTAGAACAGCCTGTTGAAGCAACAACACTTACCTTTGATGTTTTGGAAACGCATGTAACATTTGACAATTGTTTTATGATTCATCTCTTGCTGCTTCCACATGCAGCTTTTTCTATCCAAACATGATTCAATAGTTGGAGTAAGGTGACGCTTAGATTTGAGACAATAGAACAATGAGTACAATGATTGAATGATGGTTTTCATTTTTGTGAATATAAGACGACTAACTTTTGAAGTCATAAAACCAAATATAGTGGAATCCTCTCAAAATGCAGGAGTGAAACGTTTCACCCAGACTATCGAGGGCTCACCCTCCAACCAACCAAGGATCAAGACAAAGCAGATGTAAACGGTTAAACAGCTTCTATATATATATATATATATTAAAGGTGTTGGTGAGCCCCAGGGCAGGTTTACAGCACAGACTCACATTTTCCACCCAATGTTTCTGCAGTGCAGGGTGCGGGAGGGCGGGGGTGGGGGTGGGGGGGCATGCAGCCCAGGGCTACAGGAAACAAACATCAGGTGAGACACCAGGTGGGACACTTAGCAAGAGTAAGGACGGGCTGGGAGTGGAGGGAGGGGGTCCAGCAGCCCTGGTGGGACCTATATACAGGGTGAGTAGAGCTGGGAGGTGGTACAGAGAAGGAGCAGGCCAACAGGTGGAGGAGGCGGGGCATGTTTAGTACCTGTTAGCATAGCAGATGAGGTTACCAAAAGGATCTTGAACTCCCCGAAGGCTTTAACTGCCAGCTCTGACCGCTGTTACTGTCCGCGGCAGTCAAATACAACTGTATGGAATCGCAGAACATAAAAAAAAAAAAAAAAAAACGAGAAGAAGAGAGTATAGAGAAGATACACAAAGCAGTGTCTAGGTCCAGGGAGACACACGAACACCAGGGAGGGGAGGGGGTACTCTGGAGGTTCAGGCCAGTTGGGGGGGGGGGGACAGGTAGGAGTGATTGAAGCTTGGCCCTAATACACAGTATGTCACCTGTTTGAACCTCTGCATACCTCATCAGCCTGTTACAAGCTGCAACTTTTAGCGTAGGATCAAAAACTGAGAGAGATAACAAAGAGTCCTGCACACTGACCAACACTTTCACTTGTTTACTGAAACCTTTAACGTCCTCAGACAGTCATAAGGAATAGTTCATACTGGAAAACTGAAACCAGGAAAAGGCATTAATGAGAGTAAACTGGGAACTCTCTGCAGACTATAATAATCAGAAAACTGAGCTCTTTTTTACCAGGCTAGAGCCGATTCACTACATACTGTGTTCATTGCCGCAGTTTGATGCTCGTCAAAAGAACTTTATCTGATGAAGGTCTGAGGACCAAATCTTTTCAATACAATGAAAATAAGTGCTAACATTCAACTCCAAACATCTTACAAAGTAGCAGCTTTCATAGGAAACAAATAACTTTTTGATAAGTTGGAATAACTAAACCAGGGCGTCCTAGTAAAACACTTCTGCAGGTAAAAAAAAAAAAATCCCTGCAGTCTGGGGGTTACCATGTTTTGACGGTTCTGGGAGATTTTGATTGACTGTCGTTACTAGTATCAACGAGTGAGGACAAGGAGTGGACATTTTTCATGTTTTTCTTTGGCGATGATCTTGATGAAAGTTAAAGATAAGTTAGGTTTGTTTGTCTCTGCTTTTTTTCTTTTTAAAGCAGAGTGGGAGTGTATGAGAGCGAGGGAAATCGAGGCTGCGGTCGACTGAGCTAGAGTCTGATCATGTGGGAGGAAGCAAAGTGAGTGGAGGAGTGTAAAATAAAAAAAAAAAGATGGTTTCATGGCAATCATTTTGTTTGTAACAGAATAATCTGAGCAGACGTCACACCTTGGAGAGGAACGCTCTAAAAGTCTTTCTACTTCAAATTATTTCATTATCACACTCAAATATCAAAGTCATCAAAGACAACTAGTAAAAAAAAAAACAACAAAACAACTCATGCTGCTGTTGCTTTAATTGTTGCTCTTATTAACCCATTCTTTAACTTCATTGGACACGTTGCTGCTTTAGTTCCTCTGGTTCTACAGTTCATGTTACATTTGGGTCTTAAAGGACTAAAAATTGATACCACATAAAAATCTGGAGTTGTTCCTACAGAATTCCTGTTTTCACAGAAATGCGACACTTACCGATGGGGGAGGAGACTCTCGTCCTATCAGAGGCGTGTTTTCACAGCGGGAGTTCTGAAAGTTGGCGTTCTGTGCCCTGAAGCATGAAACGCAGAGAGAGATCAGTACATGAAATTGAGTACATAGCACCTACACACAGCTTCCAGGACATTAACCACGTAGTGTATACATGAAACTGTGTGAGTCCATTTTAGCAACACAAGAGAATGATACTAAAACAGAAACATGGGGATCCCCCTCCCCCCCCCAATAAGTCAGAGAGCTTTAGGTTTCATAGGCGTCACAGCTGGAGAGCAACAGCTGCATGTGCTGGCCACTGTGCGACTTTCTATCAGAGCTTAGCACTTCTCTGGAGACATGAAAAACCGACTCTGAGAACATGAAGTATCTAATATCATCCAGACTCGTTCTGAAAAATTAATGACTACCACTTCTGCCTTTCCCTTAATGTGGCTCTAATTCATTGAGCGTGCAGCAGTGATGACGTACATGTACTCGGTGACAGGTGCGTTGCTGACGGTGTGGGCTGCAGCAGGAATGGAGGTCTCGCTGCCGTAGCTGCTGCCACAGCTGTACAGGCTGGGCATGTGGACCCGGTACAGATTATCGTGGTTTTGCCGTCCCCCGTGGCTCAGAGACTCATCCTCACTGTCCTCGTCGCCCCTGCAAACATCACACAACAGCAGCATGAAACCACCGCCACCAGAGGGACCCCCTGTCTCATGTGACTGATGACAAAGGGAGCACAGAAAGCGCCACGTGGTTACAGTTTTTTTTTTTGTTTATTCTCATTTTGATTCACTTCCATTGCCGCCTGAGGGAGAAAAGCAAGATGAATTCTGGGCTGTGTGAAGGAAAGAAGATGCAGTTTTCCGCTGACCTGAATTGGACTGAACAAAGCTTCATGAAATTGGTTCAGTTTCGGATAGGAAATTGAAAAGACCTGGTTTTGCATCAGGACAATACATGCATTGGTTCCAGTTGTCAAACGACAAGCAGCAGCAGGCTGCTGCAGACTGTGGTTACAATCGATTCTATTGAAACAATGGAGCTCTGTAGAGTATAAAGAGGGACCATTAATGAGCTGAGAGGGGTCTGTGAAAACAGCAACAATGACACCGACATGATGGAGCCTGTCTCCCTCTAGTGGTCATCCCGCATGCCTTTTCCTGCATATTTTACACATGAGGTCATTCCTTTTCATTCAATGTATGCTACAATACATCTATTAACAATAAAGTAAGCATATGAGACAGAATGTGACTTACTCATTCATGTATAATATTGATGATTCTTAGGAAGGTTCATTCAGATAATCGTCACAGAAGAAATTATTTGCTGACCTTTTTCAAAATAATCTAAAAGAACAAGCTTGGCAGGGGTCACCGAGAAAATCAGACTGGTAGCATGTGAGCCGTTGAATTATAACAGGAAGCTCCAGCTAAGATCAAACTGATAAACAAGCCCCCCCCCGGTTAGGGATCAGCTAATTAAATACTGCAGCTGAGCTGAAGGGCTGTGCTGGGAAAAAAACCCCTTTCCCCGTAGCTATCCTGCAAACCCTATCTGCCATAGACAGGACAAAGACATCAGAATGATTTCACCCCGCAGTTGTAGAAAAAGACACCCGCTCCGGTGGTGGTTATGATGGATTTAGGCCATCTCTGCACAATTAGTGGGGGGATAACAGGAAACAATCTATTTGAGGAAGCAGCTGCAGCCTTCTGAATACGACCCAGGGGTAAACAGAGTTTGTTTACTTTGACTAGTAAACAAACAAAGTCTTACACAAAAGGAATCACATTTCCATATCTGGGGAGACTTATTGTAATTTCCTTTGTCATTCTATGCTGAGTGAAAAACAGGAGCTGGAGAGGGTTAAAATAAACGCCATAAAACTATCATTAATTGATAAGCTTATCCTCTTGAATTATTTCTCACTGTGTACACAGTCCCTCAAACTCAGGCTGAAAGCTTTTTGCCCTGCTGCATGTGGTGGTGGAGTTGATGGGTGAATGCAGCTGCTGTGTTACCTCTTGCTATGCCAGGTGTGCGGCACGCTGCAAATAATAGAGCTGAACATGAGGGCGGTGATGAAGGAGAAGAGCACGAGGTAGATGAGGCCTTCCAACCCGTCATAACACAGTCCTGTCATGGCCTGGACGTAGTCCTACAAAGAGGGGAGAGCAGACTTAGTTAGAGGAGGTTAGACTGGGGATGCAACTTTCAATTTGAGATTAATCAGCTATCTATTTTTACAATGAAGAAATTAACGGTTAAGTCTCTAAGATTTCAGATAACTGTGAAAAAAGCAATTTCCTTGATGGCTTATTATGTCCTATCAATCTAAATACCAAAACTCTTCATGTACTCTATAAGAAAAAGCTAAATTGGCATGGGTTTTTCTGATCTTCTGGTCGGCATTAGTGTTACAGTTCTAGGCATGTCCAAATCAGAGTCTATTTTTAAGACAGCAACTCCTTTTTTATTTTTCAAAATTGCTGAGACAGAAAAAGAAGACTAAGTTGCTGTTTTTAAATGTTGGCTTGTGGACTCTGAGGGGTCTTAAAAAATGCATCCTCTGGGATTTCTCATTCAAACTAGGTCGAACAAATGAAATCATGGCTGGCAAGCTAGGAAGTCAGCGTATTTGTTAACCTTGTGACTGAGAATATCCGCTCTGTATGCTCCACACAGCTGTAAGACATTACTTATACGAGGAAAGTTATTCCAACTTTCATGTTAAAAAAATGAATTGGCACTGAAGCAGTAGATTTTTTCAAGATATAGCAGAGAAGAAGCAAAAGTAAAAAAAAAAGAAAAATAGTGCTTCCTTTGCACATGTGCACTTAGAATCTGGAAGCTGCGGAGGAAGAATCCTCCAAAGCTTTGAGATAGCCAAGCACCTGTCATCCAGCCAGCTTCATAAAATGGTATGCAGCCAGCATCAAATGGACAAGAGCTCACATACAGGAAGGAACACTTTATTTATGGTGACAGAATTACTCAGCTGCACCAGCATAGAAGAACGGATTGCTTTATGCAGCTAAGCTGCACTACAAAGATGCCACAACAAATCAATCCACAGGTCCGTTTTCATCCGACATAGAGAACCCCCCACAGTAAGAATGTCTCTGTTTGTAAGAGTTCTCCCTGCTCACCATGTGAAGGCTGCGACAGTCCACCAGGGCTGTGAGCTGATGTAGACTGATCTCTGTGGTGTTCAGGATCCCCTGGATCTCTTCCAAAGTTCCCTGGAAATGAATGAAGATAAAAAAAAGTGACGTTTTTAACAGGCCGCACTTGACTTCTTTATTCTTGTCTCTTATACAATGTCTCCTTTAAAACATGTTGGTTCAACTCCTGTTGATTTGAAATGTGCTGCAAAAGGACTTAACCTAAAATCCAGGTTAACGTCTTGGGTATGCCTGGATGCAGACATTAAACCAAAACTAATTAATATGATTTTTTCACTGTCTTGCCCCTTGATGATGCTGTCAAGCCAGTGGGTAGTAAAACATAAGAAAACACTAGGGATGCATCAGTTGAACATTAGTATTGGCCTATACTCCCCCTGTTGGCTTATCTGCAATAATGAGGCATGCACCAATGTCAGTAGCCAATGGGAATCTGTTGTGTTGCAACAATTTAAAATTTTCAAGCTGGTATACCTAACTTGTGGTCTAGAGAACTGGGTATTATTGTGCAGTTTTCATGGTCAAACATCAAAGAAAATGTCTGCAGTTTTGGAAAGTTCCCAACATCTGTGAGAAAGTCAGTGACAGGAAGTTTGGAAGACATGTTCCAATGACATTCAAATTCATATCAGCAAAAAATTAAAAACAAACTGACAGGAAGAGATATGATGATTTGAAGAGTTGGTCATTCACTGATTATCATTCCCAGACACATTTACCAAGGATGCATCTCTCATCAATATACAACAGTACACAGCAGTTGAGCTGAATTTGTCTGCATGGGTATGTGAAGTGAAATATGCCTCTCTCTATCCCCAATGTCAGCTCTCATTTGTGCCTCTGTCAACACAGTGTAAGGACCAGCGCTGGACAATGACCCAGTGTTGTACTGACAAGGGCCGCTGAAAGCCTAATGCAGCTAAATGGACATAATGCAGGTCCCAGGTGGGCCGTCAGCAGGTCTTTATATGTGGACAGGTGCACTTCACTTCTCTGCAGGTCAGTTGTTTGGTCCCTTTGAATGGGATATTCTGTCACCACAAACAGTACAAAACAGCAGGACAGCTTGTTGCCTTGAGAGGGGGAGGGGGCATTTACGATTGTAGAGTGTACTGATGCGGCTGGAAACATACCTTAGTTTGTTTATACTCTCTGGTGGCAGAGCGCAGCAGCTCAGATACATCATCCTGCATCTCCACTAAAGCTTTGTGGCTCCCGGAAAGCTTCTGAAATAAAGTAAAAAAAAAAACATCACCTAAAAGCATTTCTTTAATCATTAAGGTGCCTTCAGCTAGTCAAAGGGAAGTGTGCTGACAGCATATAGCTTCTACTTATATATATATATAGCTAGCTAGCTAGCTTCCATTTCTGTACAGTCTTACTAATAATAGACGCCTGGAGTTCAATAGCACTCAAAGTTTTTGATTTATTAATGCTGTTTGCAATATAAAGTGAAGGTAGTCCATTGAACCAAAACCCCTATATTCACTGTGAAGTGGCCTTCACATCTCCAGCGTCTAACACACATTTTCTCATGCACTCGTTTGCTATCAGTGTGGACACACAGGAAAAGGCTGCTCTGCTGAAGAATGGAAAGTATTGTGCTCTTGCACAGAGAGATAAAGTCCAGCTTTGTAGCAAAAGAGAGTGACTCACTGTGCCCACTTAAATTCTCACCGAATACAAGATCATACAACATGCATGCAGAGACTACATCCAATGTTGTGGATTTTCGGGCTATTTTTGCCTTTAATGGATAGGACAGCTGAAGAGAGACAGGAAATGTTGAGAGGAGATAGTGGGGAGGACATGCAGCAAATGGACGAGGTCGGATTCGATTAATGGTCATCATTAATGTTGTGTTATGAAGTCAGAGAGTTTATAGGTTTACTATTAGGTTTATAAATAATAATTTTATTATCTTCTTTCCTTCACACAGCCCAATAATTCTGAAAAAGAAAACAAATCTATTTATATACTCAACTATGCAGAAACAAAATTAGAAAGATACTCAACATACCTGCTGGAAGGGATTGGTTTGTTCCACACTGCAACTTAGGTAGTACTTCAGGATATCTGTAAATAAGGGGACAGATGGAGATCAGAGTAAGTAAACAGGGTCACTTGAAATACAATGGAATGGCAATTTGGGCTGAAACTTTTTTCCTACAAACAATTACAGTGTTGCCAAGGTGACAAACACATAGTTACTTACTTAGAGGTTTATTGAGAACATTTGCAATACATATTTTGTAAAAAAAAAAAAAAATGTATTTATCGCAATAAATAAGAAAAATGATTCTATGAAAACAAGAAATGCTTTCTCACTCTATTGTTTACACACTGGATGGAGGCGTCATTGTAATGGTCATATGTCCACCTCATTTGATGCAGTCAGAAGAAGCTCAAGCTAACTGTCAGCTAGCATCATAGTTATTGGTGACAATTTAGTGGTGAAAAAAAAAATGATTTTGGGAATTATTTAAGCTTCAGGAGGAACATTTTGCACACACAGGTATAATGTAAAAATTAAAAACAGCTGTTGGTTATAGAGCTGTGAACTCCTACGTTTTAGTGTATTTATCATACTCTGAATTGTTCTTGAAATATTTAATAATATTGCACAAATTCACTTTTTTCTACTATTACTATAGGTCTACGATTAACATGCTCATGTGTATCACGTAATGCTGTACATCTTTTTCTCTGAGCAGTAAGTCCTGATGCTTTAATTTTTAGAAACACTATTAAAGAGCAGAAAAAGTGCATTGATTGAGAGTAATTGGCAACAATTATTTTATTATCACTAGTAGTGATAATGAAATAATTGTTTCAAAAGTCAGAGGGCTGCCACACTTGGTTTGAGATAATAATAAAAAAAAATAAAAAAAATAAAGAGTCTTATGTTAAAACCATTTGACTTCACTTTAAAGAAAGGAAACTGGCCTGGTAGTGAAGTGAAAGTTCAAACATGTAATAACATTAAAAACAAGGAAGCAGCAACTCTTAAGGAACAGAAGAACACACAGCCAATCAGAGTTTAGGTATGAACCGCTCTTTGAAAACAAGAGTCCCCTGTAAAACAGCACAAGTCCTCTGGACGTTTTGTTAACTTATAACACGATCCATTCTCAGTAAACCATGAACTGAAATCAACTCCTTTTACTTTCACACACTGTTACAACCCACTCCAGCTACGTCTTCTCACTCACATCAGTGAGTAGGAGTCGATGAGAAATCCAGAGGGATTTAAAAGCTCCACAAATACAAGCTGTGAGAACTCCACCGCCGACATAACACATGGTGTAAGCGCGGTGACTCACTCAGCTCTGCTGTGTCAGGAGCTCGTTTCCCACTCAGCTGAGCAAACTCATGAGAGGAAGATTTCCGGTCTGGAGAGGCACATATTCAGTAAGCTTCTTTCAAACATACACTGACATAGGGCTATCAGGAGGAGTCTAATTTATTTCTCCTACACAGAAAATAAATAAATAATATGTTTAATTAGAAAGCACTTTTCAAAAACAAGTCAAGTCGCAAAGTGCTTAAAACCTGGCAACATAGTACAAACAAAGACACAGATATAACAACTAATAAAACAAACAAACGGGTAAATAAGAGCCAATCATCCCTAACAAACATGATACAAACATGGTGAGAGAAGAACACAACAGCGCCGATGGTTAAGAATCAGTCAGCAGATACAAGTGAGTTTTAAGAAGTGATTTAAAAGCTGTGGGGCTCAAACTGCAAAGGCGTGTCTGGTTTCAACTCTTCTGTCACATGGCGTGCTAACTGTGTTGACACATGAAATAAAATCTTACTTCCAATAAAAAGACTCAAAAACAACAAGTTTGCCAGCTGGCACCAAAGGAAAAGAATGAAGTGAAGATTTTGTTTTGTGCATAACTCTGTGTTTCATCTTAGAATGTGACTTAAGTATGACATGAACAAGAAGAGGGAACAGGTTTTGTTTTTACAATCTGATCACTTATTAGTGAGCTATAATGAAGTTACTTGTGTTTTATCCCACCTGGTCAAATCTGGTTCCAGTGCCTTGAGCTTCATATTATTATCAAGTGATTTCTTTCAAGCATGGGAACTCACTGAAGAGCCAGAGTGATAAAGAAAATGTTTAATAGAGAGATGAACCAACTGAAAAACAAGCTGAGAGTGAATAAATACTTAAATAAAGCAGTTTTTTAGTACTGACAGAATCATTCAGGTTTAAAGTTTCTTCTTTAATTTGTGTCAGGGGTGCAGCTCTTCTCTGTCACTTATGCTACTGCTATCATTTGAAACCATCTGAATAACAGAAAAGAAGAGTAGGAAAATGTGAAAAAGCAGAGAAATGAAAGAATAACAATGTGGGTTGTTGAAATGATGCATGATCAAGACGATAGAGCAGCTTTCCAGCAGAGGAAAGCAATAAATCCACAACAGTCATAACACACTTTCTGCTATCCGGAGGATTTTTGGGTGCAAATTCAGAAAGTCGGCAGCTTTGGAGGAAAAACAAACAACAACTGAGTGATATATTCTCTTCTTTTTGAAGGCAGCTATGTGTTGGTAAAAAGTAAAGTAGATGTGAGGGCATGTAAAACCTTTTTATTTCTATTTTCATAAATGTGCATTACAACCATAAAAGTCTGTTTGGTCTAAAAAAACAGGGCACTTTTTCAAACAGCTGATAATGAACATGAGTTACAGAGGAAAAAATAGAACGGACTCCGACTCCCTCCCCTTCCTTCATGAATCAGCCTTGAGGCAGAACAGCTTCATAGCTGCGGCATTAAACAGTGTTGTGCACTGTAAGTAAGTGGGTGCGCATGCTTCAGAGGAGAATAAAACATTCACAGCTAATGTTCAGCCATGACTAAACAGAAGCTTGATTTTTGTGTTTAGCTATCACCATATTAAAGAGAGGAGGGGGGGGACACATTTTACGAAGCAGATATTGTAAAAAAAGAAAAGAAAAGCACATCAAGAGAGCCGGGAGTCCTCTATGCTTTTATTTCTAAGCACCATCTTCATTTTTTTTTTTCCAAGAACTGAAGAGGGATGTAGGAAATACACAGAGTCTCTGATCCTCCTCTCCATTGCTCTTATCTCTGTCACACACTCCTCTGCTTCACACACAACACTTCACTCACACCCATAAAAACGAGGCAGAAGCACTCCCTCTCCTCATGGAACAGAATGGGAAATGACTAAAACAAGATACGTTGGAGAGGCTTCTATACTGCTCAAAAAGGCGTGCCATCACCCTCCTGACCCTGCTGCAGATCATTTTTATTTGGTTAATGGTCCATTGATAAGAGCAAGCCCTGCTCTACAGAACAATGCTCGCTCACTGCTGCACACAATCAGAGCACGGAGGGCAGCCCTATATCAGGCTAACATATAATTTGAGATGTGTGTGAGTTGTGTGAGCGAATAAAAAAAGATGAACTCATTACACTGCTGTCTCTGTACCACAGGAAGACTTTATGCATATGTGATTCATACCTTGATCGATGGCTGTATACTGGTTTACCACTTTGGTCACATACATATCAGGGGCGACACAGAAGTCACTGGATGTCTAGAAAAAGAAAAATGAAAGAAAAAATGAGCATACACAGCATACAAAAAAGAGTCAGACAACTCCACAAACACAACAGATGCAATCAACTGAATTAAGCATTGAATATGTGAGAGAGAGCAATAACACAAACCAATCAATGAAGATGTTGTGGTCCTCCCTAAAAGGAGCTAAATTAACTATTTTCACAATTGTGAGCTTAAAACGAAAGCTTTAAACGACAAAGCTTTGATCCTGATTCCTGATGCGTCACCACCACAAACCTCGTCACACCTAGTTTGAAGACAGACGCGGTCCCGTTCTGTACATCATCGACATCGTGACTTATTATTACGTATTCATAGAAACTAATTAGGAGAAGTTCTGCGGCCAAATTTTGCATTCTTGGCCGTGCAAACAAAAAAAAAAAAAAATCGTGTAATCCAATTATACATAATGAACTGGGCAGCTCTACCTGGAAAACAGGATCATGCTCTGATGGAGACGCTTACCGCAGAGACGGCCAACTCCAGCCCCAGGGTGACCCAGCTGATAACCAGAGCAACGACACCAAACAAGCACACGCTGGGGAGAGCGGGGAGAAATGAGAAGTTTAAGAAACCTTTAGTCTGCGGAGGAATACCGCTCAGGTTTGCAGGTGAATCCATACACGTGTCAGGGAAGAACATGAACCAGTTTTCTTACTAATCTCATTTGTGAATTTTGAGACTAAACTACAGAAAAGGACAGTAAACGGCTGGTATTCTTTATTTATCTAACACTATTTGTTACAGAGATTCTTTTTTATCTGCTCTTAAAGTAAAAACTGATGAAAACTCTAAATGGTCCAAGTGAAGGCTTTATAGCATTTACCTTTCAGTTTTAGTGCCTATAAAATGAAAGTAGTGCTTTTATAGCTTCTCTATTTAAATGTTAAACTAAACAGCAAACCTGTGGATTTCATTGTGCCATGAAGTATCTTAAGTAATCACTAGAACACCGTAGGAGGGATGCTTATGCTAAATGAATCGTGACTAGGATGATATTTCATAGTGCTTTCATTCATCACCACTACATAATATTACCACCAGCAAGGCTTAATCAAAGTCTTCATTGGCAGTAATTAACACTTGCACTATTAACAACAGTCAAAGCACAAATGTGTCCTCTTAGTGGCCATTGCAGGTGTGACGAGACTCACCCTATGAGCGTTCCCTTGGAGTTGCGAATGAGGCCAAACAGAACCAGGAGGCAGATGAGGACATCGAACAGAAGCAGGCCTATGTAGCCGAGCCACCTGTGAAGACAAATGTCATTAACCACATGTGGTCGGGTGCAGAACAGGGTACAACTGAGGGGGGGGGGGGGGGGGGGGCCTCTATCTTTAGAAAGCACACTCATTCAATCATGAAGCTCATAGAGGCCAAATTCTTATTTTCAAAACGTTTAGTTAAATCAAAGTAAGAAGAAGAGATTTTTTTGCATGATTTAAAAATAAAAATAAAAGTCTATGTGTTGAACATGACCACCATGAAACTATACTATTTTGGCTTTTGGGTGCAGCAAAAACAAGATGGAACACAGCATTGACATGCCACTGTCTTTAAAAGCGAATATTGTGAACCTTCATTAAGAGTCATGTTGAGTCTCGTGAAGTCCAATATTAACCCTATCTTAGCTCTGTTTCTGGTCCTTACCAACTCCTTTGGTAAAAAGTCTGACTCTTGAGCTGCTGACTGCTCAACTGTGTTCACCAGCTAGTAGCTAACTCGGCTCGCAGTTTGGTGCAGGGCGGGTTGTGCCCTGCGGGTTCATGCGCTGCCAGCTGAAGCCAAAAATGTTGCTTTAAGAGCAGAGAGGGTAAAGCAGAACAGATCAAGTCATGATCCTCTAAAATGAAATACCTTTAAGTAAGTGCTGCCAGGTATGTTATGTAGCCCATGGTTTTTCATGCTCTACATGTGTGGCAGAGCACAATGGAGCCCTTTTTTTTTTTGTGAACCAGGGCTCCATTGGCAGCTGTGGCTCAGTGGTAGAATCGGTTGTCTCTCATCCAGAAGGACAAGTCGGAGGAAAGTGTCCTTGGGCAATTGCTCCCAATGTTGCATTAGCAGTGTGAGAATCAATGTGTGTGTGTGTATGAATGGGATAACTTAATACCAATGGACACTTTATATATCAGCCTCTGCCATGAGTGTGTGTGAATGTGGTGTGACCGGGTGAATGTGACATGCAGTGTAAAAATAAAATAACAAGGACTAGAAAAGAGTTTTAAAAGCTCTAGTCCATTTACCGGTGTTTGCATAAACCAAGGGGAAGAGATTATTTCCACACTGGTGACTTTAGGGAAGCAGGAGGTGGTTTCTTTATCATCTCACACTCAGGCTGTGGCCCTGATGTCTCCAAAAGAGCAGCTGTGTCCTCATATCATTTTTCATGAGTATTATTTTGTTCAATTGTAAGTTTAGAATTCAAATCATGACATCCCCACAATACTTGACTGTGAAGTCGTCAAATCAGCAGATTCAGGATAAAATGTTCTTTTGGTCCATCACTAAAGACTATTTCACTTTTTTAATGATGATTTAGTATCTGATGATATCACAAAAGATTTGACTTCAGTGTCTCTGTACTCTAGTTGGATGAAATAATTAATCTCGTAAAACCCCATCCGTGTTTTGTTTTACAATATGTACCTGAAAAACCCCCCAGTTTTTAAGTTGCGTTATCTGTGGCGCTTCATGGATTACGATGCTCTTCATGTGGGAAGCCACTTGCTGTTAACATAACAGGAACCAAACGGCGCCAGGATTTTGAGTCAAACCAGGACCAGTGGAAAAAAAAAAGACTGCAGCCAAAACTGAACCTTCAGAAATGTGAATCATTTCATCATTTATTTGATTTAAATTCAAATTCGGCTTGGAGGAGACAAAATAACTTTAAAATTGCAACAATGTATAAAGTGAGGGGAGCGACAGCAAAGTCCTCACAAGGCAGTGAATAACTAAAGGAATATGTACTGGCGTTAAAGTTTAATGAAGGGAAGGAGGAAAGGAATCATGCTCCATTGTTGTCTGTGGTGCCCATATGCTAATGATCACTGCTGCTGCTGCTGCTATGCCACTCCTTACCAAGTTTTATTTTTGAGCCTTTTTCCATATGGTAGGCTATCCCCAGCGCTGTGTGCAGGTTCTAAACAACAAAATTGACCAATTTAGCTTGTACTTCTTTGTTGTTGCCATGGTGTTGAAGGGGGTGATATATTATTTTTAACCAACATTGAATCAAGGTTTGATGATATCTGAGTGCGTATGACATAATTAGTGGGAGTGATTGTTGGGACTGCACCATTATAGTCTTACCTGTACCAGTCAAACAGCTCAATCTGGACCGCGATTTCCTCCAGGGAGATGTTGCCGTTGTCCCAGAAGGGAATGTCCACCATCTGCCGGACCAGCTCATCCAGCTGGCCCTGCAGCTTTTGGATGATGGACAGGTAGTCTGCGTGCTGTGCGTACTCGCCTTCAAGCTGTTGCAGATCGTCATCTACAGTCTGGTTCAATGAGGATGTACTGTCATATACCTGGACCCAGTGCAGGGATAATAATAAAAAAAAAGGGGCAAAAGGGGAGAAGAATTAAAAAAACAAGGATTCACTGCAGAGCTTTTTTGGGAAAACGAGGGAAGCTCATGGCAGAAGAGAGATGAATTATTAAACATGCTGGCATAATTTATACTCTCAGTCCTACCAGTTTCTGCACCCCAGTGATTGTGCGGTTAGCATGGCGCAGGGAATACGTCAGCCGATTCACTCCATCACAAGTCTCGCCGTTCCCATAGAAACCGACAGCAATGCCAGCGCTGAGGGGAGACAAAAGGAAGGGAGGGGAGACAGGGTGGTGAGGAGGAGGGATTAGCCAAAAGAGACACAGAGAGGAGACAGAGAAGGGAGTGAGCGAGGGGGATCGTGAGGCAGGGAGAGAGGCGTGTGAACTCGACATTAACCCTATCGGTTCAGAGCCCAGTCAACGGGCTCCTTTCAGCTGAAGCAGAAAGACTCCATACAGAACCATGGAAACACAGAGGAATGGACCAGCTATGCCCCAAACCCCACAGCACTGCTCACAAAGGCTGTACAGAGGCAGGAGATCGGCTCTCATTTGCACAGACAGGCCTCAGGTTGCAGAAAAACAGTTCCGGAAACTGGATGGGAAACAGCTTCTTAAGGTTATTGACCCAAACAAATATTTTCAAAATCCTCTGTATTGCAACAGATAGAAGCTGACGTTGGTTTGTAGGTTCTTTTCTATTTATTTATTTTTTTAAATTGACTTCCTCCCAGTGCTCTAAGGTGCAATTTGAAACAACAAGAACATTATCTCCTCCTGTGCTGCAGCTGTTGGCCTTTTTGATAACCCCGATCCTATGCCAGAGCGGATTTCATTAAATAGGATCACGATAAGTGAATCACTCCAAGCTAAGTCAGACCAAGTCTAACAGTGTTCAGCCACCAGCCCTCAGTGAATAAATGGGTCCTTCGTCCTCCGAGAGGTCTGCTAATCTCTTCCGCTCAAACTCTCCATTGTAAAAAAAAAAAAAAAAGGTGAAAAGGGGCAGAGTCACAGCTTACACAAAAACCCAACCTCCCTGCTGTGATGTGAACCTGTGGAAACTGTGAACCCTTTTCTAACATAAAAAAACAACATTTAAAAAGAACTACGGAAACACTGAAAAAAAAAAAAAATTGGGTTAACCCCAGTATTGTTAACAAATTGTTGCAATGCTTTGACAGAGTGAAAGCCTGGCATCGTTCCCCAAAGAACAAAAACAAAATCAAAGCTCAGAAATGTTTGATCCCTTCCTGCTTTAACTGAAACACATTTGTGCATAGGTACAAACGCACACAGATGCGGTGATTGCAATGCAGTTCTTGTACTCCTCAGGTCTCCCAGCTCTTTGTGCTACTCTGAATCAGCCGTGATGGCTCTCCAGTGGCCCATCAACAGACGGAAGAAAACCGGAAACAAATTCAGCTGTTAAGGACACAAAGCCGGTCCAGATGGTTGAGGTGTCACTATCTACGTCAACATCAAAAGAACAAAACAAAGAAATAAAAGCACTTGGCACTAATAGGGTGTTTTGTGCTTCCAGTGTTCCACACTTAAAAATATTATTACCGTCACCACGATTGTTAAAGGGGTGTTCCACTAAGCTATTTTTACCCCTGATGCGAGTCTGATTCCTAGATATCACGGCTGCAATGTGAACGCTTGTATTATGTTTTGGTTATTAAAACTAGTCCCATACCAAATGAATTCAGCTGTCATGGTGTGTGGCTAAGCCCTGTCAATCCAACACATGGAGCCCAACCAAGTGACTGATATTTTGTCTCAACAAGAGAGTTGATGGCAGGACTTGATGTTGACGCATCGCATCACATTTGTGCAACTAAAAGCACCTGTGTCAAAGCAAAGGATTGGTTAATGGGCAATACAGCAGAAACATATCAGTTGATTCTGTCAGTTTGTGTTTAGGGCTCTTCTGTAGATACTGTAGAAGTTGGTATAGATGCAGGCATTAGCCAAATGTGCAAGCATTTACTTTTTTATTGTTAATTTTAACCTATTTAAATAAAAAAATGGAAAGGGATTGCCGAAAAAAATCTGCATAGGTCGAATTTTCCTGATGATATTCTGGCGAAATCTATCAGATAATACAAGTCTGAGCATCGTTTTAATGACTAGGAAAAGTGACTCGCTTGAGGATTCAGAAACAGGGACTGAATAAACACCACACAGATCCTGTGCTTGTACTCACCTGCACACAAGTGTTGCAATGATCACACACCAGGCCGTGCAGCAGCAGTCAGCGTTGGGCTGCTCTTCATTTTTTTTCCGCCGGCAGCACAGACAGATGGAATAGAAGAGGAGGAACAATAGGTCCAGGGCCAGACAGGCGAGAGCCAAACCTCCCAGCAACAGGATGGACTGATGGACAGGAGGACAGAGTTATGGAAACTTCATGGCTGAAACCACTTACACATCGATAACAGTGGAGATAATGGGCCTCTAAAGAGTCCATCACACAGTACGCTTGAAGCAAACCACTGAGCTTTGAATCGATTGGTTTGAATGCTAAAAAATATTCTGCAAAATTAGTATGCTATTGTTATAATGTTCACTGGATGCTTTAATAAATATTTAACTCTTTGAAACATAGGTTCCATTGTCCCATCTATCTCTTCAATGAAAATAGACATTTTAGGGTTGCTTAGATCTTAAAGAAGAATAGAAGAGCTTGTTTATTTTGGTCCAATAATTCTAAACACAAAGTTTGAAATGAAATGGAAGGAAACATATTAATTATAAGGAAAACATTGTAATATCGTTTACATACAACAGCTGTTAACATATATTGTTGACGTAAGCAAGATGTCGAGGCTTGCAGTAAAGCAGTATATGAGTATCATGGAGAAAACCTCTCAGCCAGCAGCAGCACTTCCTATGTAGGTCAGTCAGGCCTCCGAGTTCACTGTACACTCCTGAGGATTCAGGGCTGGGGCAAATATCCATCCTGCCACTTTTGTTTTGTTAAAAACCCATGCAGGGCTGTTCTATTTGTTCACTTTTCTCCACGCCGCATCCCAGCGGCAGACACGTCCCTGACGCCGGGCTTGTGAACTGTCGTGGCAGCCCGTGATCTTCATTTCTCGATCGACTGCGACTATTCCTGTGTCCAAATCCTTTAAAGTGTCTACTGTTAGACAAACGACGGACGGGATGGATAATCAGACACTACAGTTATTCCAGTGAACGACACAGCTGTGCGTTGGCCAGCACAGTTCAACGGAATCCAAAGATGCACCAACATGACATAGTCCTACAGCGAGCAGCACTCAGAGCTCAGCCATCTGGACAAGGAAAGCCTTCCCCTGAAGGCAGGGAGAGCATTGGAAATAAGCAGTCTGTCATCACAGTGAGCTAGTAATTACGCTTTAGTAAGCTAGCTCAATGACCTCTTTAATGTTTCACCTGAGTGAGTAAATGTGCTCAAACAACTGCGTTACCTGTCTGTTTTCATCACATCTGCATTGCTACAACCATTCCGCTGGATATCTTCATCCTTTTAGCAGGGATGTTGTTCATAACTTTGGACTGAACACATTAAGCAGCAAAGAAACCTTTTCTGTATCATAACTGGAACGCACACTCCCAGTGATACAGAGAGCTTAACAGTAGCGAGGTGGGGGTTGGGGGGGGGGAGGTGGATTTGTCAGAAGGGAATCTAGTGCCACCTCAGATGAGCTAATTCTTAGACTAATCCTTCTGTCCGAACTAGAACTTCTTCTTCTCCGTTATTGACTATCATACTGCTCAAGACCAAGATCTTAATGTCCGCAAATACCTCCCAGAATGTTTCAAGTTTGAAATGTCTCCTCATAACCATGAATGAAGGGCTAATTAGCGTCACACATAACAGCTACTTAAGGAATAGTCATGTTCCAGATGATGTCTGGAACATGACTTCCTTTTTCATAGGAACCACGATTCACTTCTGGATTTTCTGAATCACACTTCCACAGTAAGGAAGAAGCATTGTTGTCTTATGACTTCTGCCAATTGTTCACTTGTATTAAAAAGTTAACCTCCAAATCTCTTTTGATGTCCTATAGCCTCAGTTGTCTCTGACAATATAATGCAACCCAATCATTAACTGAACTAACCTCTTTATAAAACAACAGGAGATAAAAAAAAAAGTGGCAAGAGCATTAGCTCACTTAATAGCTGTTTTGAAAGGTCAGATGATGATTCATTTAATTCTTCCTCATTCCTGAAAAAAAAGATTTTGCCCAACAGTTGATTCTGTCGAATTTTAGACCACCAAGCTATTTTTAAGTGCAAACAACATTGCGTGTTCAGACATAAGGGGACTTGCTCCTTCAAAGTACAACTAAAAGGAAAGTTTTATATTAACGCTTGGCCATCTGGCACAATCAGAGACACAATTTATCTAATTTTCAATCAGGACATACGTAGAAAAAGTTCCCTAGATCATGTGTAAAAAAAAAAAAAAAAAAACATCTATAAAGGTGAAGTACCAATCACTACTCTGACACACTACCTGCACTCCACCAGAGGTTTAACACACATCAATGGCACGAGTATTGAGCGCATTGTAAGCGCCATACCTGCCACAACTACCACTGCAACAGGAGAGTATCACTTGGCCTGTTTTAAGAGATTCTTTGTTGACCTTAAGAGGGTGAAAAGACCTGGTATGTGCCAGCTGTCTGGTGCCTGGGAAAGGTCAGGACGTGGATATAATCGTTGCACACACAGATGGTGACATGGATCGAAAGGTGAAGAGAGAGAGAGAGACAGGTGCGTTCAAACAAGTCATCTGTCACCGAGAAAATCGGATAATGTTTGACTCATACTTGGACACAAGATAAATCTCCCTACTGATCTGCAACTGAAGAAGGACACCATACAATATCATCTACACATTTTTGTGTAAACATAGATCGGATGTGAGGGATTTAAAACTCACAGGGTTTGATTTGACAGGAGGGAAAGAGGCATATATATATATATATATATTTTTTTTTTACCTGTTGATATGTCCAGTCCTCTGGTTGGAAATCACTGCTGGTTTGCTCAAACTTTAGGTTAAAATGTGGAAGTCTGTGCAGGATATTCACCCACCACGGTGGAGAATAGCTGACCACCGCTGCCATGGCTGGTAAATGTCAATGAGATCCACTCCTCGAAGATGCTCCAAGCTGTAAACACAAGAGGAGAATCCACTTTAGAAACTCTCTCTGGGATGAAGAACACAAAAAAAAAAGCAGTGCTGCTCATCAAGCTGTGGCAATAAAGTTAAATTAGAGAAACACGAGTTATTTGGACAGTGTCAATCGTGTTTTATTACTCATTGCAATGGCAACCATACAACATTTTGAGAGATTTTTAGACACTCAGCTGGCTAACAGGATAAACACTGATGCTGCTACTAGCTTGCTAACATAAACTAGTTGCTATGACCCCGGAAACCAGACGCCCTGCGAAAGCTAGTTAGCTTGTTAACCAATGTTTTTTTTATTTTTATTATCGCAATCGGCTACAGTGTATTTGTAAAGTGTATCACAACAACAAAGTGTCGTGGTCCATTAAAGTTTCGTTCAAAAACAACAAGATGTATTAGAGGTAGGACATACCCGCAAAGAAAGCTGAAGTTAACTCGGCTAGCCGGGTTAGCTGCTGGTTAGTTCAGTTGTTCAGGCGCATAACAACAACAAGAAGTCTCTTTTGTTCCACTTGACATTCTTGCTCTGCGGTTTGTTACATCCTTGTTTCTCCCCCCCTCCCATGTAGTTGGTAATTCCTCGGTTTTGTCTTTTGCAGTCCTCTTTGGGTGCAATGGCTCAAACAAGCACCTCCAAGTACAACCTCCATCCAGTCATTGTAAGAGTGCAGGGGAAACTGTGGCCAACACGGAGGCTTGTTCACGACGTTCACCGAGCTTTTTACCCCCGCTGCCAGGCCCCGCACACACACACACACACACACACACACACACACAGTTTAGAACAACACACTCGCGCCGCCCAGAGGAACAACAGTGTAAAGACCATGGGGCGTTCAAGTGATATCGGAAAAATGATGACTAGATTATTGAAAAGGGGGATGAATTAAACTGTTTTACAAAATATATTGCATTGGCTAAAAGCCCGGAAGCAAACAGTAACAATGTAATTAAACTGTCAATTTTCGGACCATGTTCTAATTGGTATTCAAACCTGCATTTAATTTTTTTTAATTTTTTTTTATAGCAATTAGTTAAAAATCGTCCGGACTTCCCTATGAAATATTACGAGGAGCAGAAAAGGAGATATGAATGCAGCCGCCGCAGAGGAAGAAGGAGCACATGAAGGCGGCATTACTTTGCTCGTTTGAAGAATCAGGAACATCAAATAAGACAAAGAACAGAAAGTTACACAAGTGAAAGTAGGATATAAACCGGCCCAAACAAGACACCGTTCCCAGTCAAACTGATTTAACGTGGACTGCATTTCTGAGCTGCTTAATTTCTAGAGTCAGAAGGAAGACGACTGGAAATAACACCGCAAGCCCCAGAATTGTTTCTTACACTTGTGACTTAAAAAAAATAAATACACAGCAGGATATGACACGGATCTTCAGCCATAAACATATCAGCGTAAGTTTACTCCAC